GCCTCACCCCCTTCATTGCAAAAGGAGGACCTAGAGCTGGTATGGGATTCCCGAGAGGTGGGTGAGGGGGCCTGTGTTCACTGGCTGCACCCCAGCTGTATCCCTCCCATCTGCCCCACCCCACCTCACCTTCTCCTAGAGGTCAGCAGGAACACCTCTCCCGGTGCCTCCCCATGGAAATTCCCAGTCCCAGCTTTGTTCCACCAAGCCCAGAATGCACCTCTAATTTAGAATCCAAGGTTAGCACCACTAAGGGGGCCTCATTTAGGTCTGCCCCTTTGTACAGTCAGGGACAGTGAGGCCTCAGAACAAGAGGATGCTTGTCCAGGGCCAGTGGACAGTAGTGGCCCTGTCAGGCCTGGTGTATTTAGTGTCCCTGCTCTGCCTAGTTCCAAGCCACTTCCCATCTCCAAGCCCTGAAAATTTCCATAAACTCTGAAGGACTGAACCAAAATCCTGCTGGGAGCTAAGAGAAAGCACTGAGGGAGGTGGAAATATACAGAATTAATTTTAGCACCATCTCCAGCTCTGAAACCCCTAGCTAGTTTAAGAAAAATATAAACAGGTCTTATTTAATGTGTGGTCTGCTCCATTTGGATTATTTAGAGGCTCGAAGGCCAGAGAAAAGGCAGTGGAGGGAAGCCAGCTTTGGGCTGTATTTGGTTGTTTTATGGGGAAGAAACTGTTGAAAGTTGGAGGGGAATGCCACCTAATTTTGTATTTCCCAATGTTTCCCCTTCAGGTTTTCATATCCCCAATTCAAGGACTCCTTTCTCTTCATATTTTATTAAGATGCTGATTTTAGTTATGTGAGGCCTGTTCTCTTCTATTTTGACCTCAGTTTCCCCATCTGAGAAGAGAGCAGGCTGTACTTAGAGGGCTGCTGACCGGTGGCCGAGGCCTGGGTGAGTCAGGAGCAGAGGGAGCTGAGCGGGATAGGGCAGGTTCTGTGTTGCTAGGCGTGGCATTGACTTTGTCCTTCTCTAGGCAGAGTCTGCTCTCTCTGGTTTAGCCATAGGCCTCGTCACTCCTTATTGTCTTACCCCAGCCTTCAAACACATTTACCTCACCTGCGTGGCCCTGAAGACTTTGAGCTTGTAACCCCTGCCACCCTCTCCCCAAAAGGAGCTGTATTCTCAGCTCCCTTCTGGCTGTAAAGTTTGTCACCTAACTGATTTCACTTAATTGTCCCCACAGTCCCATTTTACAGATGAGACAAAGTGAATCTGA